CATTATTCGATAATGAGTGCCTGTTCCCATGCCGTATTCTGTTACGTTCTATCAACATCGCATTTCTCGCCTTGCGTCCAACCCAACCCCTTTCTCCCCCACCCCCTTTTTTTCCCCATTTCATTTTGTTAGTAACTAGCTAATGCACATTTCCGAATTTCTCGAGGGGTACAACAGATAATCATCAGAAACCGTTGGCTGATGTATGATGCACGTCAAGGGATTATGAAACGCAAGTTTTGATAGCTCAGGTGCGATCTTCGACTTGGCAAGATCCGCCTGTAACTTAATGAACATCCAGCATCATTATTGACACGGGGGTGCGATTTACATTCCTCTAGGCCGAGCGAGGTACGTCAGCCATTGATGAGATACTGTAACACCTTTCTTTCAAATTTTATCATATTAGTTTGTAAATGTAAAAATGTCGCACATCGCGGTTTGGGGAGATATGCGAGTGCGCGTGTGGCCTCTACCGCCCTCCCGTAGTTTTTAGCGTCGTCAATATATTCTTTTTTTTTTTTTTTTCCACAACCGAAAATATTATTCTTTTTCCTCCCAACACAGACAACGCCAGAAAGAATACCAGCATCATCTACACATCAAAGGCTTCGACGGAAGTTTTCCTCTAGAGCTCTGCCATTTCTCTAGATTAGGAATAACACCGTTTTCAATGCCATAGCCTGGTTTTCACGTTAGCTACGCGTAGGTAAGCTTTTTTGCAGCACAGAGTCAAATTTTCCAATCTTCCCTCGATGTGATGACCTTATTTAAAACATGAACAATCCAAATCCTATTCATCATGACGGATGCCAATATTGCTATTGGTAAACCTTTCTGATATGCTACCTAACTGTTCATTTATTAACTGTGTCCGTGGACACTGCTGATTGACTGACCCATTGGCCTGTAGGAAGTCTGTTTCGTAATTTCCGTTCCATGTAGCTATGCAGCTTTCTGTTGTGGATTGAAGAAGAGCCAATTTATAAAAGGTATATATTTTGGGGCATTATTCTCAACTCCTGAGAACCATTTTCTCTCCATCAATTCCTGCCTTCCCTTCTATGATGACCCTACGACATGCAAAAGGCAATCCCTCAAACTTAAGTTATCATGTGGAAACTGTCAATTTCATAAGTTTCAGCCTTGTCTGGATTTCGGCCCCTTCAATCTATCGCTTCCATTCGAAGAATTTGATTATCAGAAGTCAGTCTAAGCATCGTTGCTAATGTTGTTCCTGGATTTAGGTATGCTTTTGGAAGCTTCTTTCCACCTTCTTGGAATCAATTACCTTCCTCGTCATGTACCTGGGTCGTGCCATTCTCATGAAGAATACCTGAACGAACGGGCGGACAGAACTGCATCCGGCACTCCTCATCCTTTATATGCAGAGCGTACAAACTCCTGCGGGTGCTGGAGTCGTCGGATCGCTTGTTGAGAATTCGTCAGCTGATTATTGATTTATAACACCATTTTTGATCTCGCGTTGCCGCTGATAATCGTTATGGAAAGGGAGATAACACTAACTTTGCATGATCTAGGTGAATTCAATTCTTTCTGTTCTCGGTGTGGGATGCCCTCGTCCTTCTCTTTTTGTTGCTCGGCCATACCCCACTGGCTGTCGTCTATTGTATGATGAACATTATTCACACTGTTTGAACCCGGCACCATCATGTTTGGGATATGAACGTAGTTACTGAAAATTCTGATTTAATGAGGTATGTCTGAGAATACCCCTCGCCCATGCTCCCTACTGCTTGCTTTGGAAGTTGAAACTAATTCATAGGCTCAAAGCCTGAAATCAGACGACACGCCATTGTTTTTGGAATCGCCGTTGAGATTTTACCTGGTTTTCTTGGCTCTAACCTTCGCTAATTCATTCCAACATGGTTGTAGGGACCAACCCCCAAATACTCGCAGCAATATAGACGATTGATCATTTACGGGTATGTTATTTTTATTTTCCTGCTTATTCCTGGCACTGCTTCCAGCTCTCCCTTTTCTCTTAGGAGTCATCTGATGAACTCATATTTCGCTGTGTTCTTACCGAGTCTTGGACTTTGAGGACAACTATCATCTTGGAGAACTGATGACATTTTCAGTATATTGCTCTATTCTTTTTTTTTTTTTTTTTTGTTTTGTTTAGTGGGGGGGGGGGGGGGGAGCAGTATAGAAAATCCATGTCGTGTGCTAACAAATGTAAAAAGATTCAAATTAGGGTCCAAATTTGAATTCTGGGGGGAGGGG